GGGTGGTTGTCTTTGAAGTGCGGTAAGTTAATGGCAGTCGCCTCTGCGGCACTTCACGTAGCTCAGCATGTCGACTTGAAGGAACTTACGACGTCTTGGAAGGACTTCAAGAAGGACAGAGCAGCACTTGCCGAGGTACCTGCAAGTGACTTATCAAGTCCTCCTCAAGTACTTGCTTAGGTCATCCGCGGGAGTTACCCAGGTCGCCTCAAGTACTTAGTCAAGTACTTACCCAGGTCATCTTAAGTTACCTGTCAAGTCCTTCAAGTCCTTAGTATAAATGGCAGAACCAGAGGCAAAAGCAGAGGAGCAACCCCAAGAGGAGCAGAAAATCACCAAGGCTAAATCCCCAGGCAGAGTCGCCGCAGGGAAGAAGCTCGCAGAGATGAACAGGAAAAACAAGGCTAAAAAGGAAGAAAAAGCGGAGGAGGCAGGTGAATTCTTTGTAACTCCTGGGTTCATTATTGGCGCATTAGGAGTTGCCATGGCCGCGAGCAGCCTCTACTTGCAGTGGAGGGCCAGAAAACCCACACCAGAGCCCGTTTATCTGGTGCAGGAGCCGCCAAAGAAGAAGAGCCGCATTCCGGAAATGGAATAAACCTTTTGGCTTTGTAATATATGAATCCATTGGCTATGGGTCTTGAAAGTGCCATAGGCACTACTGTGGGCTTTACTGTACTTGGCTGGGTTGGTAGAAAGGTCATAGGCGAGGAGCTTGTGGCCGACCCTAGTAAGAGCTTTGCCAACTTCGCAAAAATGGCTGCATCACTGGCCGTTATTCGCGTAACGTTTCTTTATGCCTTTTAGGATCGCATCGACGCTTACTATAAAAAGCACCCAAAATCTTCTACGGATCTAATATAATGTCGTCCGCGATATTGAAAACTTTTGAAGAGGCTGCTATCATTACTTCTATTGTTGCGGGTATTGGCTGGGTGGGCAGGAAAGTTATCAAAGAGGACTTTACTGACGACCCCAGTAGGAACATCGCTAACTTCGCTAAGATGACCGCCGCCGTAGCGGGCAGCATTGCCCTTAAGGACTATTTGCAGAAGAAAAAGTACATCCCTAACATATAGATGGCTAGCGTGGTTGTAGGCGGAGTTATCGCAGCTTTAGCATTCACTGGAGCTAATTATGGTGGTCAATATTTGGATAGATTGGTCAGAGGCGACAAAAGCGGAGAATTAGCCGCTGAGAGGAAAAGGCATGATTTGGCGCTGGAAAAGTATCAAAGGGATGTGGCAGCTTGGAATGAAAAAAGACAAGCTTACAGGGATTGGTTGGACGAGAACTACCAAGACAAAATGCAGGCAGACAAGAACTTTGAAAATACAGACTACGCCTTCAAGCTCTATGCGCAAGCACACCCAGAGGCATCGATGAGAAAGCCTCAGTTTAAGAATTACTATCGGCCTTCTAAGAAACAAAAAGACAATGAGCTGGTATTTGTTGGTATTGCGGGGCTGGCAGGAGGCGCAGCTTTGGCGTATTTAGTCTAAGCTACGCTTAGCCTCTAGTGGCGCCTTTGACGCCTAGAATATAATGATCGTCTTTTTGGAAAGCGACAAGAATAACTTTACCACTTACTTGAATCCCCCCATCAAAGCTCATAAGGTTCGGCTGGTTAGTTGCTCTTTGTACAATTCTTGGTATAATTTGATAGGCGGCTTTGTCGTTGTGAATGCCAACAAGCCAAAGTTGCCAGATTCCCATTACACCCCTATAACACTGGCTAAGGAGCTAGCAAAGCATGGATATACTCTTACCACAGGTTTACCCCACGAAATGACATTCAAGAAAAATAGTGGGAGTGCCAATCTAAAGGGCAGTCCATTGGCAGAACTCCTGGGTCTTACTAGTACAACGATAAATAACGGCAATACATATGATGTGAAATGGAAAGTCCCCGCCAGCTACGAAGTTTACTGCAGCCTAGTAAGCTCGTACTTTAATGAAGGACCCAGTAATCTAATGTCCAAGTTTCCGCCTAAGGGTAATCCATTTGACCTGGTAGAATACGCTCCCATTTCTTTGAGCTATGACTTGCCTTGCGAATTGGTAGAAAGCATAAACATCACCATCAAAGTGGACGGAGAGACGGTCGATTTCAACGGGCGAAAGATCAATCTTGTCTTGGAATTCATATAATGGGTCGAACTGAGGACAAACTTAAAAGGATTTACTACGGGCCAGAAGGCTATTGGAGAGGAGCGTCAGCTATCAAGAAACTTGCAGCCGCTGCCGGGGTATCAGAAGAAACGGCTAAGAACTGGTTAAGAAAACAAACCCTCTGGCAGGTTTATCTTCCCGTGCCCAAGTACATTCCCAGGCCTAGCTTCACCGTAAATGCCCCCAATGAAGTTCATCAGGCGGATTTGCTTTTCTTACCGCACGACAAGGTGAGAAGAAAGACCTATAGATACGCTTTGACCGCAGTTGATATCGCAAGCAGATACAAGGACGCCGAACCCATGACCAGCAAGGATTCTGGGGAAGTCGCAGAAGCCCTAGGTAGGATTTATAAGCGCGGTTTGAAATGGCCCAAGCTGCTGCAAGTGGATGCGGGAACAGAGTTCATGGGCGTGGTTACCAAGACTCTGAAAGACCACAGCACCAAGATTAGAAGAGCCGGAGCAGAGTACCACAGGGGTCAGAGCATCGTCGAAAGATTCAATAAGACCTTGGCCGAGCGTCTCTTTGGATACCAGTATTGGAAAGAACTGGAAGATCCCTCCAAACGCAATAGGGAATGGACCCAGAGGCTCCCCCAGGTCATCGCGGCTTTGAACAACGAGGTGGCCAGGGCTACGGGAATGAAACCCAGGGATGCCATAAAAAAGAAACACGTGGAACACAAGTCCT